ATCGGCAGTGTGCTTTATGTATAAATTCTGGGTGTGCTTACTGACGTCGAACCGATTTTATTTGGTACACGGCGCGCAGAAATCTGTCAAAAATGTTTTAGTACGACTTTGGTAAACTATGAAGGCGCACCACTTGATGGATTATTGGAGCATTACGGCTGCCGTAGTCAGGAGCCTCGCGGAGTAATCTGGGTCCTAAACTCCATTACTTCAGGTCCCAAAGTCAAACGAACACTGCGGCATCACTGAGAATTAAAACTGTCTAAATTCTTTCATCTTTAATAAAATGATCGGCGTTGCTGCTTTACCAGGTGTAAAAATTAAAATTAACATCCAGACATCCATGAAATCAGAACTTATTAAATTCAACGGAGTTAGAAGTTAGCAGGAAGTTAGCTCGCTAGTTTCCACCTAAACAGATATACCATGTTCTGACAGATTTCTGTGTGAATGTGTGCGTGAATGGGTAGATGACTGGATGCGTAAAGCGCTATACAAATACAGGCCATTTACCATTTTTGAAAAATTGAAAACGTACAGCTCTGCTAATGTTGTGCTACGTGACCACTAGCAAAACAGCTACGTTAGCATAACATTAGCACAGTGAAGCTGAAGGATGAAGGCTAACTTCTTACCACTCGATAAAAGTTAACGTGAGGAGTTCTGGTGGTTAGGGACAAATGCAGTTGCATGGCAGAATGCTATAAACAGACCAAACTTCAGACAGGAGCGCAACTGAGATGATCCATCCGCAATATGAGGTTAGTGATTAATATACTGCAACAACATGGGAATAGAGCAGCTGCGAGAGAATTCAGCACTAATGAATCAATTGTAGGGAAGTGGAGAAAGCGCATTTTTTGGCTTTCCCCATATTCCAAAAGTGCTTGTCTCTTTGCTATTACTGTCGCCCGGCATAATTTGCTGATGATGTTGTTTGCAGCTGCTGCAATGCTTTCGACCAAAACAGGCGCAGCTTGATGACATCGTCAACATGCGCTATCGCGGTCTATGCCGCCCACCCCTAATTCAAACCTCTTGCCAAGTTTGGTGCCACTGGTTTACTGTGAGCGACTCCCAGCCTAAAACGCTAAAAACAATAAAACCCTAACCTTACTTACTCTAAAATCTCTACCGTTGGCTAAATTTATATCGTTTCTACCCTATTCCGTTTATACCGCCCACCCCTAATACAGAGTATACAAAAGGGATAAATAGAATAAATTGGAATAAGAATACGAATACAAAGGAACAGGGGTTATGCTAAAAATCCAGTATTATTCCAATATTAATCCTAAATCTAAACATGCAGATATGACCTTCATGTTTGACTCACTCCCAAAAGCAGCACCTTTATAATAGATCTGAGAGTAAAGTATAATTGGTATAACATGTCTTCTTTAAAAGGCACTTCAGGATTTGAGTTTATCTCCTCTGTCTTGTTTCAAAACCTTCCGTTCTAAGAAATTCAGAGAAAACTTTTTTTTATTGCATCCAATGTACAGGTCCTGTGGTGATAATACAATATTATAAAGGCAATATGTTTTAGGATGAACTTTGTTTTTTCTGACAAAGTGTGTTAATCGAATTTTTTTAATGTGAGAACTTTTTTTGGTCAAAATGACTACAATAATAAAACACGTTTGTACAAGCCTCACTGTTCAAATCATACTTAAGTGGTGTGGTCATAGCTTGAATGCCAGGTTATGTAATCGTGTCTGTGTAAACTCTAAATCTC